GGGAGGGAGGGAGGGAGGGAGGAAGGAAGGAAGGAAGGAAGGAAGGAAGGAAGGAAGGAAGGAAGGAAGGAAGACCAAGGAACTGTCCCAGTTCCAGGACCTTCTTTTGCTATCATGGACATCACTGGGACAACTGGCCAGATCTGACCATTGTCTGAAGGTTATAGTGTTTTATCAGGGTTAATCTCCTGATCTTGAGAATTGTACTATGGTTATGTAAGAGTCTCTAGGAAATACACACTAGAGTATCTGAGGGTAAAAGGGCATCGTGTCTGTAATTTATTCTCAAATGGTAGAGAAAAAGTTGTGTGTGTGTGGAGAGGAGGCTGGGGGAGATAAAGACAATGTAATAATGTTAACGTGCAGGGAAATCTAGTTGAAGAGTATATAGGAATTCCTTGTACTGTTCTTGCAACTTTCCTGTAAGTCTGAAATGATGTCTAAAAAAGAATTTCCAGGGTGGTGCCTGGGGGGTTCGCTTGGTGAAGCATCCAGCTCTCGGTTTTGGCTCAGGTCATAATCTCACGGTTTCGTGAGTTCAAGCCCCGTGTCGGGCCCTTGTGCTGACAGCTCGGAGCCTGGAGCCTGCTTTGGATTCTGTGTGTGTGTCTCTCTCTGCCCCTCTCTTGCTCCCACTCTGTCTGTCTGTCTGTCTGTCTCTCTCTCTCTCTCTCTCAAAAATAAACACTAAAAAATTTTTTAAGGAAATAAAATTGTGAAAATAAAGTTTCTCTAGTGATTCTGACATCAGACATTTATTGTTATCTCTTGTGCAAAACCTGCAGCTTCTCCAAGCCTTGCCATCTGGTCGTCATTGGAGCCAAGGTCCGCAAATCCCAGCTCTATGGAAAATGCAGTTGTCTTTGTGGGATGGGGTGACTTTAGCTTCTCCGCAGCTCTCTCTCTCTCCCTTTTAGCCAAGAGGGTTGTGTCACCCAGAAGAGCCTCAGTTATGCTGAGGGAATAAAGAACCCTAAAATCTTTTTTTTTTTAACTTTTTAAATATTTATTTTTGAGAGAGAGCACGAGCTGGGAGGGGCAGAGAGAGAGGGAGACACAGAATCGGAAGCAGGCTCCAGGCTCTGAGCCATCAGCACAGAGCCCGACGCGGGGCTCGAACCCACGGACCGCGAGATCGTGACCTGAGCCGAAGCCGGACGCTTCACCGACAGAGCCCCGCAGGCGCCCCAGAGAACCCCAAAATCTTCAAGTCGCACAATCTCATAGCAACCAAGCTGCACCCCCATTCACTCTGCATATCTTTGTCCTCACGGGCCGCCATAAGGAATTTCCACAGACCGGGCGGCTTAAACAACAGAAACTCATTTTCTCACAGTGCTGGAGGCCGGTAGTCTAAGACCAAGGTGCCGGCCAATCGGGTCTGTGGCAAGAGCTGTCTTCCTGGCCTGCGGGCAGCTGCCATCTGGCCATGTCCTCATGTGGCCCTTCCTTACTGCACGTGCACGGACATGAAGAGAGCCAGTGGCTCTCTGGCATCTGTTCTTGTAAAACCACTCACCCTATCCGATCAGGGCCCCCACTCATGACCACATGTAAACTGATTGCCTCCCCAAAGCCCATCTCTAGATACAGCCACACTGGGGTCAGGGCTTCAACATGAATTGGGGGGAGGGTGGCAGGGGGACACAATTCAGTCGGATGAGGTTTTTGGGGTGATAGTGGGGCTCAGGGGGTCCAGAGACGACGGCCAAGAACGAATTCTTAAAGATGTCTCTGGTGCAAAAAGGTGATTTTATTTGGGGCGCCTGGGTGGTGCAGTCGGTTAAGCGTCCGACTTCAGCCGGGTCACGATCTCGCGATCCATGAGTTCGAGCCCCGCGTCAGGCTCTGGGCTGATGGCTCGGAGCCTGGAGCCTGTTTCTGATTCTGTGTCTCCCTCTCTCTCTGCCCCTCCCCCGTTCATGCTCTGTCTTTCTCTGTCCCAAAAATAAATAAAAAACATGGAAAAAAATTAAAAAAAAAAAAAAAAAAAAAGCACGGGGACGCAACCCATGGACAGAAACAGCTGCCCGGACCACGAGGAGAGACTAGTTATATACTATGGGGTGGGGGGAGGTAAAATCAGGAGGAAGTTTCCAGTGAGATCTTCATATGCTAAAGAACACTCCCAAGATGGTGGAGGCCTAGCTATTGCCGAGCTAAGGGTTTCCCCTCCCCCCCCAGCAAAATATTAACATTAAGACATAGGGAGTTCCTAGAGAAGTGTTTGGCTCTTGCCGGGCTCAAGTATTCGTCAATGGGCTGCAGGTTATACGGAAATTGAGTTCTATCTGCCATTTCCTTCTGTCTCTGTTTCCCACATCACTATGGAGGGGAGGGTGATGTTGGGGCTCCAGGAAACTGAGTCTACAAATTTCTGGAGATGAGGCTATTGATAAGACTGCCTTTCTCTTGTGATTGACTAAGATCTTTGTAAATAGATGGAGACTCGGGTCCTGCACGACTGTGAGCTCTATCGGTTAACCCTTCGTTACCCCCCTTTCCTTTGTTCTTGGGCAGCCGGGAGTGCCCGAGGAATAGCACACACATCCAACCTGGGGCCTGTCAGCTTGCCTTCTCCTCCCTCGAGGGAGGGAGAAGCCCTTGGTGAAGTCCCTCAAGGGCTGGCTATGGCCTCTCCACCAGGTGTCCTCATTCTAGCACTGAGGGTGACAGATCAGCCACCATCTTGAATGCGCAGAGGCAATGAGGTCTCCAGGGGGGTTCACGCTGGTAAGTAAATGCTCTGGTCCAGAGGTAGGAGCATGTTGCACAATTTGGTGGCCAGAACTAGTCACGTGACTCCGTCCGGAGCCAGAAGGTGCAATCTTAGCATATCCCCAGAAGGCAAAACCTAGAAGTACTTGGTGAACAGTGCAAATAACCACCACAGGAAAATCAACGGCTCCTCCTGAATCCAGCAGACTCTTTGGTTTAAAATTACATCTACGAGGGGCGCCTGGGTGGCTCAGTCGGTTGAATGTCCACCTTCGGCTCAGGTCATGATCTTGCAGTTCATGAATTCAAGCCCCACGTCGGGCTCTGTGCTGACAGCTCAGAGCCTGAAGCCTGCTTCGGATTCTGCGTCTCCCTCTCTGCCCCTCCCCTGCTCACTCTCTGTCTCTCTCTCAAAATAAATAAACATTAAAAGAACAAATACAAGAAAGTTCTGAAAGGTGGAGTCAAGAAGGTCTGGCTAGACATCTTGGATGCTTAGAACAACACCACGGTGAGTGGTGCAATACTGTTTGCCTCACAGTATCGCAGACTGGGTGCTGGACAAGCCAGTAACTTGGAAATGCCAGTGGGAGCAGACCAAAACCACACACACACACACACACACACAGAAAAGATCTGCTCTCTCTAGCCAAAAAACCAGGAGAGAGGCAACCTGACAAGACCGAGAACTTATAGAAAATACTTCATTAATCCAGCCAACACCATGGAGAACACCATGGGCCTTCTGCCATGTTGGTCAGCAGAGGCTGAGTGGGGGAGCCTGGGCCTCCACCCTCAACAGACTATAACAAGACACCTCTCCTAGCACCCCCGCCACCCCCACCTCCTGCCGGGGTGGTAGCAGACAAGACCCGGGGGGCAACCAAGACTTATATTCCAACCAAGAGGTAACAACCCCCCCTCACACACATACACACAGGAAGAACGGGGACCACATGGGAATCCTGGACTTCACCAGCCGCCCGCCTCTGTCAGAGGAGGCTGAGTGGGAAGCTGGAACTTTCACTATCATCCAGTGAGCAAAAAAGGCCTCCAGCCCACATCACAGAGAGGCCACATGGGTAGGAGTATCAGGGCGCCCTTCCCCCTCCCACCTAGGAAGCCTAGTGGCAGCCGTAACAAAGCGCCACAGACTAGGTCCTTTAAACAACAGAAACTTATTTTCTCCCAATTCTAGAGGCTGGAAGTCCAAGGTCAAGTGTAATAGGTTCGGTCTCTTTCTGAGACCTCTCTTACGCTGCTTGTAGATGCACACCTTCTCACCTGGTCTTTCCTGTGCACCTCGTAAGACCCTATCTCCAGCTAGTTACATTCTGAGGTACTGGGGGTTAGGGCTCCAACGTATGAATTCTGGGGGAGACACAACTCAGCCCATAACAGACGGCCAGTGTGTCACGAATGCTTAAAACTTCATCTCTGCCGGATGCCTCAACAGCTCCACGATGAGACTGTGAGCACCTTACCAGGTGACAGGTGCACCAAGTGTGACAAGGCTGGCTCCTGCCACAAGTTCCTCTTTTGGCCCTCCCCTGACTATAACCTAGTGACATCCAAATGCACCAATGAAAATCCCTCAGACGTTTGCTTGACCCCAGTAAAGGCACTTGGCCACGGGTCCTCACTCTCTCAGCTCCCCATCTGGGTGGTTGAGCCTGCTCTCTGGGCTTTCCTTCCATGTGGCCTCCATGTGGAATGTGGACCTCTTCTAGGACCTGTGGATATAATGAATCCTCCAATTTCAAATGCCTCTCTGAGTGCAATTTCCACAGCTTTGTTGGAATAATCCTTAAAGGCCCCATGAGGAGGACTTAGTTCCTCCCTTGCAACACAGTGCAATTCTGAAATTTCAGCTGATTTATGTGGTGAAAGTAACAGTGTATTTCTTCCAAGACTAAGTCATAAAGGGCACGGACACTTCCTCCTCTTCCTCCTTCCTCGTTCTCTCTTAGATCACTCACTCTGGGGGACACGAGCTCTCGACAACCTAGCAGCCCATGAAAGAGGCCCCTGTGGCAAGGAACCGTCGGCAGTCATACGAGTGAACCACACTGGAAGTAGATCCTCCAGCCCCAGTCAAGCCTTCAGATGACTGCAGCCCCAGCTGACATCTTGTCTATGACCTCGTGAGAGACCCTGAGCAAGAACCATTCAGCTAAGCTGCTCCCAGATTCCTGATCCCGGAAACTACGTGAGATAACGTTTATTATTTTAAGCCACCAAGCTTGGGGTAATTTGTTATCCAGCAAAAGATTATATTAGGCCTTTATCAAAAGAGGAAAATTATACAGAGACTGGAAGCATAGCCCCCTTTATTTATGTAGGAGGCAGATAGTCTCATCCCTGTAGGCATTTGCGTTTATGACCTCTTTCAAATTACCAAATCCCTTTCTCCGATCATGACCTACATTTGCTTGTTGTTTCTTCCCCAAGGATGACCAAATCAATAAATCCTGGCTACCGGGGGGAAGAAGCACGAGGGAGACGATGAGTCTGAATTTGTGGGGTGCTGCTCGGCCCAGATTTCAAGCCCACATATTCTTTGCTCAGACCGTTTGCCTGGAGCCAAGGAGCTGCACACCGCTCGTCAGGTACGGTTAGGGACAAGAATCTCAAAAGAGCCAAAAAAAAAAAAAAAAAAATCAAATAGAAACCAGTCAGACGTATTAGGTTGAACCTTATGAAACTGGCAGCATTTAACTGCGGAAACAGCAGTATCGGACGGCTCGACCCGCTAAGACATACAGCTTTCATCTACCCACCCCACTCGGATTTTGTGCCTTCTCTCCTCTAGCTGGCTGGCGTGGCGGCTGCATCTGGAAGGATTCGACAGATCGGCCACAGCGGCTCTCCTGGGAGACCAGCCTCTCCGTGCGGGATGTCCGAACGCCAGTGGTCATTGCCGGTGCTGCCCCAGGCAGGTGCCGCACGTGTTCGTGAGGCTAGACGAAGTTCGTAATCCAAAAGGACACGCTGTGTCTCGGTCGTAGGGCCTGACTCTCACGGTTTTATTCCTGCCGTTACACGGGAAGCTTGGTCGGAGAGCAGGAGCAGCCCAAAGGGGTGTCAGAACTGGTGGAGTTGAGAGCGGTGGTGATGGAAGGGCGGAGGAGAAGGTGTGGACGGAGGTCGGGGTGGAATTGGAGTTGGAGTTGGTGCCAGTGGTACCCTGGCCCAGGGCGCTGGGACCTCTTGGTCACCTGAGGACACAGGAGGTGGGATGGCTGCCCAGCACACACGGTACAGCCACAGCCCAGGTAACCTGCCTCTCACCTTGTGGCCAGTTTGCTCTTGAGTCGTTCACTCCCTATAAACCAACTGGTCATAAGTGATCTCTCCTCCTCACGCCCCCCCGCCTCCTAGCAAATGTTGGGATGCGGGTAACGAAGTGTGGAAGGGCGTAGCTCTCCAGACGCCTTTCACCGGGGCACAAGTGTGCTGTGGGAGAAACGGGACGAGCCCAAAGGCTCCTAGGCAGGAAGAGTCGGGAAACGAAGTCGTCCTCTCTCCCTTCCTCGCCTTCTTCAAGCTGTCGTCTTGTCTCAACCACTCCCAGACACGGTAAGCAAGAGACAATTTATTCCCCATCGGCCCCGCCGTCAGCCGGCAGGAACAAGGAGGGCGAGTGCGAGGCTGACCTAAAATCCTCCCTCTCTAAGTCCTCGAGGTGAGGAGAGCCAACCTACCCAGGGCTTCGAGAAAGGATGAGGAGAGGGGTTCGGACGGGGGGCGGCCGAAGTTGGCGCCAGGATTTCGGAAAAGGTTACGGAGATGCCTTCCTTCGCTCCGGATCCAGGATTTCCTCCTGCTTGACCGAGGCGTGTGAGACCCCCCGGCTCACTCGGAAAGTTCTGTACTGAGCTGGAGCCATTGCTGCAGGACGCGGCCCGGCTGGGACAGTTCATAATCACGCTCCAGAAGTGCTTGTGGTTGAAGTGGCAGAGGGCCGCTGGCAAAGGACAAAGGGATGGGGGACAGGAAATGTGGAGAACGGAGGAAAGCAAGCGGCAGGCCAGGCGAGGTGAGGCCCAAGGGGACGTGAATCCTAAGAACCTACCTCCCTACCTCCGGGCCTTACCAGCCCCTCCCTCCCTCCACACTCCTTCCGCCCTGAGCCACCTCCTTCCCAGGGCCGCCAGGCCACTCACCGCAGGTGACATACAGGACAAACACCAGCCAGCCTATGAAATAGCTCCAGCCGATGGGGACAGATAAATTCCTC